GACAAATAAACTGGGATTTTGTATTAGCACCATGTTAAAAAGAAGAAAATAGAAAGGTTTTGTCCAGACCACCGGGGAAACCTGAATGTAGGGAAGCGAAATAAAGGATGCACAAAATAAGCTGCAATTTGATATTTAATGTAAACAGATTTTGCCAGTTAAATACGCTAGGATGAAGTGAGAAAAGACGCTTTCAAGTGGCTTCTGCGATAGAATTACTAATGGCGTATTATTTATTAATCAGCAATTTCACACTATGGCAGTACATTTGTGTCGTTTTTCAAAATTGGTCATTTTCAATCGCATGTATCTGTTGTGTAGCGATCATGATAACATACACAGTTGTTTCTCACTGGAACATTGTCTCAAAAATAGATTACTCGACTGGGATTTGCAGTTTGTAATGATAATAAGAATGGCTTAGGCAGAACTGCACCCTAGTGCTTGTGTGAATTTTCCGTAGGACCTGCAGTTGTAATACCTGTAGTGAAAGACTAGGCTCCAAAGCTGACAAGAAAGTAAGCAACTTCCTTTTCTTATTTAACCAAGTCAACTCCTGTATGTTGTAGATTTTAAGTTAAGAACATGATGAAGAATATAGAGGCAATTTGCAACAGTGGGATACCTAGCAGATATGACAGAATTTTTCGAAACAAATTAATAGTGAACAGTCATATATTTTATTTGCACAGCGCAAATGTTATTTGCACAGAAGAGTGCTGGCATGCACTGTAGATGTTTTTAAAATTTATTGATATAAATACATTGATTGGAGTTGGATGGCCATTAAAAGAAAGCAACAGTTGCATATTTCGCCTAGCCATTTGCCATATTACATAATGCACAAGCACGCTTTCTATTTAGGTATATGTCAACGTTCAAGCACTTGAGACCGGATGACCTCGATTTGTTTGTTGATGTTCTTAGGCATGAGTGGCACTGTTTCCATTAATGCAGCATTTTGGTCATGATAAAGAAAGAGTTCAACAAACATAAGAAAGCAGTCAAAGCCTATGCATTTGTATTTGTCATGCCACAAGTGAAAGCGGAGTGCCTTGGCAGAAATAATTGTCCATGCACACGAATTGGTAATGTTTTTTAAAAGCCAATGTTCTGTTTGATTTAGCGCATAATTATTAGGATTGAATGTAGCATAATGTCATATTTGTATCAAGTGTGATATAGGTAATAGTCGCGATTCTAGTAGCCGAGGCGTCATCGGAATTCTCTGTCATGCATTTCCTATGTTCGCGATTATCTGTACCGGTGCACAGCTGGCATGCCTTCTTTTACACAGTGCTGGAATCTGTGCAAAGCGGAGTATTTGCCTCACTTTTTTACACGATTTATCATGCTCTTTACTCAAACAGAGATTCTTTTTGCCTGCTTTTATTCTGTGACCTTGACACAACCTTCAAACAAATGCCTGTAGTAACCTGGCAGATCCAAACAAGTACGAGGTCCCGTTCGATTAGTTATTATTGGCTGGGTACTCACTTATTTTTACAGGCTTCAGTAAATGTCAACCCATCCAAAGAGACAGTTTATCCCAGAAAGTGGACGAGCATTGCAGTAGCTGGCATTTCCTTGGTTTCAGAGCCTGACTTGCGTCTCGTAGGCAGTTTGACACTAATCTTAGATTGGCGTTATGCTGCCCACTACCACTATTGAGGACCGAAATGTCTTCCAAGTGCAGTGCGTAAGGTTTTGTAAACAATCCCAATAGTGCGGTTTCCATAGGAGACAAATAAACTGGGATTTTGTATTAGCACCATGTTAAAAAGAAGAAAATAGAAAGGTTTTGTCCAGACCACCGGGGAAACCTGAATGTAGGGAAGCGAAATAAAGGATGCACAAAATAAGCTGCAATTTGATATTTAATGTAAACAGATTTTGCCAGTTAAATACGCTAGGATGAAGTGAGAAAAGACGCTTTCAAGTGGCTTCTGCGATAGAATTACTAATGGCGTATTATTTATTAATCAGCAATTTCACACTATGGCAGTACATTTGTGTCGTTTTTCAAAATTGGTCATTTTCAATCGCATGTATCTGTTGTGTAGCGATCATGATAACATACACAGTTGTTTCTCACTGGAACATTGTCTCAAAAATAGATTACTCGACTGGGATTTGCAGTTTGTAATGATAATAAGAATGGCTTAGGCAGAACTGCACCCTAGTGCTTGTGTGAATTTTCCGTAGGACCTGCAGTTGTAATACCTGTAGTGAAAGACTAGGCTCCAAAGCTGACAAGAAAGTAAGCAACTTCCTTTTCTTATTTAACCAAGTCAACTCCTGTATGTTGTAGATTTTAAGTTAAGAACATGATGAAGAATATAGAGGCAATTTGCAACAGTGGGATACCTAGCAGATATGACAGAATTTTTCGAAACAAATTAATAGTGAACAGTCATATATTTTATTTGCACAGCGCAAATGTTATTTGCACAGAAGAGTGCTGGCATGCACTGTAGATGTTTTTAAAATTTATTGATATAAATACATTGATTGGAGTTGGATGGCCATTAAAAGAAAGCAACAGTTGCATATTTCGCCTAGCCATTTGCCATATTACATAATGCACAAGCACGCTTTCTATTTAGGTATATGTCAACGTTCAAGCACTTGAGACCGGATGACCTCGATTTGTTTGTTGATGTTCTTAGGCATGAGTGGCACTGTTTCCATTAATGCAGCATTTTGGTCATGATAAAGAAAGAGTTCAACAAACATAAGAAAGCAGTCAAAGCCTATGCATTTGTATTTGTCATGCCACAAGTGAAAGCGGAGTGCCTTGGCAGAAATAATTGTCCATGCACACGAATTGGTAATGTTTTTTAAAAGCCAATGTTCTGTTTGATTTAGCGCATAATTATTAGGATTGAATGTAGCATAATGTCATATTTGTATCAAGTGTGATATAGGTAATAGTCGCGATTCTAGTAGCCGAGGCGTCATCGGAATTCTCTGTCATGCATTTCCTATGTTCGCGATTATCTGTACCGGTGCACAGCTGGCATGCCTTCTTTTACACAGTGCTGGAATCTGTGCAAAGCGGAGTATTTGCCTCACTTTTTTACACGATTTATCATGCTCTTTACTCAAACAGAGATTCTTTTTGCCTGCTTTTATTCTGTGACCTTGACACAACCTTCAAACAAATGCCTGTAGTAACCTGGCAGATCCAAACAAGTACGAGGTCCCGTTCGATTAGTTATTATTGGCTGGGTACTCACTTATTTTTACAGGCTTCAGTAAATGTCAACCCATCCAAAGAGACAGTTTATCCCAGAAAGTGGACGAGCATTGCAGTAGCTGGCATTTCCTTGGTTTCAGAGCCTGACTTGCGTCTCGTAGGCAGTTTGACACTAATCTTAGATTGGCGTTATGCTGCCCACTACCACTATTGAGGACCGAAATGTCTTCCAAGTGCAGTGCGTAAGGTTTTGTAAACAATCCCAATAGTGCGGTTTCCATAGGATATTGTAAAGTAGTGGCTGGGTTAGGGAGTTTAGAAAAGCATTGTCTGGAATTCAAGGAGTCTGTGTGACTATAATTAAACTCGTTCCCACCCTTTCCGTTTTCGTTACTCCCACATGTCAGTGTCCTAG